TCGTAACGAACAGATTACGATTCTCGAAGTGCGAATATGAGCGAACTTCACTCGATACCGCCGACCAGTGGTTCCGCGAAACACTTGATTTTGGCAGTATTTTCGACGGTATCTCGCTACGACAAGTACGCCAGACTTAATTCCTGCACCTGCATTTCGCATGAAAAACCTCCCCTTCGGAGGGTCGGAAAAGCAGCGGATTGAACTTTCGATCGCCATAACGGCTGATCGCGACATTGTTCGGTTGACACACTTCGTCCCGCGATTTCGGGCATTTACCCGCTTCTAGAGACTGTTTTACTACGATACATTCTTACGACGAATGTACGTACCTTGCATTCGGCACTTTCAAGCGGCGGCAACTGATTTTCAGACCGACTAAAATCGCGCGAAACACAGAACGAGCTTTCGAACGCTGTTCCCGTCGCGATCGCCCCGGCATAACTGACCGACGTAACTGACGTTTGCGATAATTGCAAATCTCGATGTATCGAAGCACCCGATGTTTGACAGCCAATCACCGTTCGTTCACATATTTATTGAAACGTAACGCCCTTGACACAGAATAAATTTCTAAACGATGTCAATTTCAATGCGTACGTGGCTGATATTGCGAAAATGTATCGCCAAATTTCTCCTAGATTCACGCGATATAAATTATCAACGAATTTTAATGAAATCCGCTCTGTACGATTCGGTTACCGAATACCAATTGCTCACCGTGACTTATGGGATGGTTTGCGCACCATACCTTGCCCTTCGCGTAATTCAACAGCTAGCGACCGATGATGATTCACCGTACCCTCTCGCTACCTCAGTTCTTCGCGACCACATATATGTCGATGATGTTCTCTTTGGTCACGATGATCCCTCAATCTTGCGCGAGACTCGTGATCAACTCGTTTCGCTGTTGCGGCGCGGCGGCTTCGAATTGTGAAAATGGGCAAGCAATTCTCCAGGCCTTTTGTCCGACATTGAAGCGGAAAACCACGGATTTCTACATTCTCTTATTCTGTTGTGCAGCTATTCCTTCAATAGCTTCACACAGTTTCTTAAATTAATATAGCAATTTAGAAATAAAACACAATTTAGAAATAAAACGTAAAAAACATAATTTAATGTTGTGCAATGGTCAACCAATACAAGCATAACATGTATTTTAATTGAACAGTAATTATATTTCCGATAATGCATAGAGTACTTTTACAGAGGAGAATTATAAGGCGCAAACAAATTATTTAAATATTCAATGCTATAAAATTCAAATGAAGGAGGCAATAACTCAAAAACCCCGAGCTATATGCTATAGAAAAAAAAAACAAGATTTGTTTGAGGATAATCGATTAGTAATGTCACCACAAAAGCAAAGTGTCACATAAATCCTTATTAGTACGTCGACACAAAACGACGTAATAATACAAAGAAAAACAATTAAATTATAATCCTCGTTATCAATTACGACGTTTTTATCCATCAAAATCTCCGCAACTATGTAAATCTGACCCTGCCGTAGATTTATAGGAATATTAATTCAATCCACCGGTTTTGAGAAACGAAGACATTTCTAAAGTATGGTTAGTTATAAATGTATAATATTCTAATATTCTTGGGATGCTTTGTCGCCCTTTCCAGATCCACCGGTGCCAGTTTTCTTCGGCAAAAGGACCGCTTGGATATTAGGCAAGACACCACCTTGAGCAATGGTCACTCCAGACAATAGTTTATTAAGTTCTTCGTCATTCCGGATGGCCAACTGTAGATGACGTGGAATTATCCTGCGGAAGAAAAATATGTGTACAATTTCAGCAGAATATACATATAAATACAAAAGTTTGGATATAATTCTAAATATTCTGAAAGAGATATACAATTTCGAACAGTAGTATATTATATGTAAATACATATTTGAGATCCACAATATTATCGTATTAGGAAACAAATTTCTTCAATGAATATAAGTAATTTCTTGCAAATTATACACATTGAAAGAGAAAGCGAATTAAAAAGCAGTTTCAGACTAGAAACGACACAGGTGGTATATTTTTTAAAGAAATTATGTGTGTATTATCATTATATATATATATATATGAAATCCACAATATTAATGCACCGCAAGAAGTGTTTTAATCAGTATAAAATTCTCTCACAAATTAAAAATATTAAAGGAGAAAGCGAATTAAAGGTAGTTTCGAACTTGAAACACAGATCACATCTTACCCTAGAAATCATAAATGTATATATATATATAAATTATTAAAATCTTATTAAAATCTAATCCTAATTTACTCCTCTTTCATTATTAAACATTACTATGAGTATACCAGAAATTGAGTTAAGACTAATCAGTTAAGGCCGATACAATCAATTCGTCAGCAAGGTTAAATATACACATGTACATGTGCGTTTGGGAAATTCCGGAATATAATTCAAGGGCGAGAAGATTGGTAAATATCAAAATCACGGAGGATATAACTGAAGTCTTGTCGTGAGCTTCTCCGATGAATCAGCACGACGCAACGTTACGGTCGCAGGGATATCGCCGGAAGGAATCGAGGAGTCGTAAGTCAGTTAACGGCGGAGATGTCTCCTCCTCCTCCTTCCGTGTGACGCTGAGTCAAGGGTGCGAAAGAAATCGAGCGAGACGCGGACGTGAGACAGAAAACAGGAAGCCGTATCACGACGCATGAGTGAGAAGGACGAGTTGGTAGATACGGCTAAATAGAGCGAGAGAGAGAAAGCACGGCGTGAAAGAGAAACAAAGACGGAAGGGAAAGAAAGGAGGAAGGAAGGGCTCGCGCCACCGACCTCGTTTTTTTGTTATCCCTGGCGGCGTTTCCGGCCAACTCCAGCACTTCGGCCGCCAAGTATTCCATCACGGCGGCGAGGTAGACCGGTGCTCCGGCGCCGACGCGTTCCGCGTAGTTGCCTTTCCTCAGGAGACGATGGATTCTCCCTACGGGGAACTGCAGCCCTGCCCTGCTGCTGCGGGTCTTCGCCTTCCCCTTGGTCTTGCCTGCGAGCGCAACAAGGACACACACGTCGAGCGTCACTGCGTACCGGCACCGATTCCCACGCCAGCACGAGGTGCGTACGTGCGGGATAATCTCGATCGTCGTCTACTCACCGCCTTTGCCGCGTCCCGACATGTTTCGCCGATTATGAGGTGAGAAAGCGCCTGATGTTTCCTACGTGGGGGGAGAGGGACGTACGGAGATACAGCTCGGAGCAACAGCAGCACGACAGCAACGAGCGCCGAAAGCCGAATGAAGCCGTGGCCCGCGCAACCACGATGCTCACGCGCATGCACGTCCGATATTTTGGCGGCGATCGCGTCCGGCTGGCACTTGTTTGCGCGGGAACGGCCGGCCGCAGTGTCGTCACGACGCGCCGCCGAAAGTCCCTAGCGAGCGTTTCCACCTAGATTACACGTCGCCGTCTAGTGTATCCAGTCGCGTCAGCTACACCCTTCGTCGTCGCAAGCGCTCCGTTACTTCCCTCTCGGTCGATCTCAGGCCTGAATGTATAGATCTGTTTCATCCTTAGGGCAAAAGAAGCGAGGCAACCGCAGGTCTCATCATTCACCTGTGTGTGTTTTCGCGATTGGCGAAAATTTAACCCTTCCGAGGAAAGGTGTCGAGGGTGACCCGAGCGTATGAATGCGTTTCTGTTTAATTGGAACGAGGAAAGGACGGAAATATCATGTGGAACATTAAGCGGGAATATATTTTTCAAGAAAATCTAATGATATAATAAAATCTCTTGGTGCTCCGGGGGTCATGAGTGACCTCTACCTTTCCTCGCGAGAGTTAACTTGAAGGATATCTATTGAAAGTATACTCATAGCGAAATTACTGCCAAAAACTGATAGTCTCATGGTAGTCGCGTGACACGGGAGATTCGCCGTGGATTTCGGCGAATTGCATTTAGCGATTACAGCAACACGGAAGAACGGTGCTTTA